AAATTATCTAAATAGACTTGCCAAACATTTAGATCTGAAAAAAAACGTTCATCATTATTAGGGAAAATATATACTGACTGAACAGCAAACAGTGCAGACCAAGATCAGATGGCAAAGATGTCCCGGCTAATCTTAGTTTGCACTAGTTGCTAGGGTAGATACTGTTGTGGCCAGCAGGCTAATACCCCGGTCACATATTCACGGAATACGCCCACGGAAGAGCCACGGATTAATTCCGGCATCGTCCGTAGCTACCCGTACTGGTCAGTAGCTCTCCGTATTGTAACCGTAATCAATTGTAGCAGTCCTTGTATATCCGTAGCGATCCTTGACAATTTTTGAACATGCACAAAAATTTGCTACGGAAAAAATCAAACGTAGCGTATCCCTACTAGTCCGTATTAATCCGTACTGGTACGTACTGGTCCGTACGAAAACCGTACTAGTCCCGTACTGATTCGTAGTCCACCAACTTGTCAAGGATCTCCACGGTTTGGTAACGGAGAACTACGTATTTGTACGGTTACCCTACGTATAAGCTACGGTTTTAATACGGATTAATACGGCATTGTCAAGGAAGCCACGATCGTAATACGTTGTACTACGGAGAGGCAAGGATAAGCACGGTCTTATACGGTTTATTGCGTTGCAACACGAAACGGTACGGAATGGTACGGTCCACCACTGTTTAGTACGGACGAATTAAGTATCATGTACTTTTTCAAGGGTATAAATACTACCTTCTTGTTAAAAACAGACATATTTGCGGAAACATTTAATAAATGATAATTGCCATTTACTGGCTGCAACTTTATATTGAAATGGCTCAGAATGCGGAGGCAGTGGTCGAGCTGCTTGATGACATACATAGAAGTAAATTTTTATCAATATCGTACTACAATTCATAAGTAATAGAATAACATTTAATGTAACATATTTTACAAACATGGATCGTGAAATTGGAGTAAATATGTACATAAAACGAAGTTTTCTCATAAGCCTCAGATGCTGGCCCTTGAGTGATAATAAGATTAATTAACAAGCTTTTTACATAATATTAAAACATAAACATCACGATAATTAATGTAATTGTACGATGAACAGCAAATCTTTAAAATTTAAAGAGAGGCAGTATTGATCAACATTTTCATTAATGATTACTAGTCCGTATCTAATCAGGTGAGAGAAGACAGACGAGATGGTGGACTAGAGATGGGCTTTTAAGAAAGACCGCTTCAAGTTAAGTTTGAGGCTCTCATGGCCGAACTTGTTGAGGATCCAGCGTCCTTCAAGAAATTCACTTTAATCGGGCCTGATGTGTCTCGGGGGTCGGACGCGATTAGGCCAAGTCCTCTCCGCCAAAATCATTGAACTCTGCAATTCGTTTTCTATGTGTTCTTTTCTTTTGAGGCATTTTGAAAATGAGCAAGCAAGAGGTTGTGGACGGATGTATTAGGTCCGTATAGATCCGTGGCAATTCGTTCTTTCTCCGTATCAATACGTTCTTCTCCGTATCAGACCGTACTTATTCGTACTAACCCGTGCTTATACCGTAGCAGACCGTAGTGTATCCGTAGTGCGTCCGTCCTGATTCGTGTCGCTCCGTATCAAACCGTGTCGGTCCGTAACAATCCGTGTCTCTCCGGGGGCTTTTGGTGGTAAATCCGTCGGACTCCGTACTCATACCGTTGTGTGTCCGTACTGGAACCGTAGCGGACTACGAAATTTCACATTTCCGTAGTAATCCGTGAACGATTAGACCGTAGCTCTTCCGTGGCATTATCCGTGAATATGTGACCGGGGCATAACAGTTAAGATCTTACTTCTGGAGCATCAGTTGCCAATATGAGTTTTTCAAGTGACTATAAATAATTGTATATCACAAATGTCTTATTATGCAATTAAATTAATTTTTATACATTTTCTAATTCATTATTTGATGGCTTCAAATTTTTATATTCATATTGTTATCGTTTTAAAGATGTAAATTTCTTAGTTTGTTTTTCCAGCTGAAAAAAATTTATTTAACTGTTTTTACTATTTCAAGAGTAATCATCTGTATAAAACTACAGTGATAATGATCTATCTGTATGAAATAATTTGCATGGAATTGGCAAGTCACTGACCTTAATATAAGCAGATTTTATAACCTACTTTTCTTTAAATCTATATTTAAAACATCTATGTCATGTTAAGAGAATTTTTAATTTCGAGTTAAATAGGTGGGCAGTAAATTGTCTAAGAAATTACTGTAATGGGACTCATTTTGTTTTTATGACCCCTAGTTATCCCTGGACTGTTATTACATGCTTAATAACTAGATAATTACAAATGAATTCCTCCATAGGGGTAGTAAAAATGTAACTTTATATGGGTTAAGGAGAGAAACTCTGGGACCGCAGACTGTTACGCTTAAAGACTTTAAAAAAAAGTAACGTCTTGAGAAGTTACAGATCTCAAAGTGTACAACTTATTACGATTTGAAATTACACAGTGCATTGAAAATGACAAAATATTACTGCAATAAAAAAGGAATTAATGTTTTACGTAAGGAAGTGCAATCTGTTCACAAAGTCACTTTATTTCCCTCTAATAAGCACCTATAACTAACGCACTTGCATACCATGTCTTTTCTTTAAATGGCGACTTATTGGTGAAATTCAATTGCCTTTATTGTAACATCGCATCAACTAGCAATTTGCTCCTTTTTTTTCTAATTACATCACATACCATAAAATGTTGCAAATTTCACATGTCAGCTGAACACATGTGACTTCTATATTGTAAATTATGAAAAATTGTGCTATGAAATATAGTAACAATTAGACTCATGTCCAATTGCACTGTGACACAAACTTAAATTGCATAAGAAAAGAAAGTATAGGCCACTGGGTTAAAATGTGTTTCTAAATTCATTGGATGCTGGTCATATTAGGCCTATGGGACCTCTGCACAGGCAGCCTAATCAGCACATATTGTATGTGGTTCGACCTATACCAACCACCAACCACCCCCCACCCCGCCACTGAAATCTCAACGGATTTACCCGATTCACAGTAACACTGTTGCCTGCATGCATGCACATACCAACGTTAACCGCTCTTTAGAATCCAATATGACCACACGTTATCTTAATTTTAAACAATTTTATTTAGGCCTAACACCTGTTTTATATAGAACATAATTTTTTTCGACAATTTATTTTCAACAGCTCTTCAAAATGAAGACTAAAATAGACCAGATTATCTCTGCAGGGAAATATTTCTGCAACTTATCTCACATCATTCATAAACAATGTGATAAAAAGCAGAGGTTAAGATGACAGCAAAACTGATGATGATATTAGATGTACCTTTAACTTGAAAGACTGATATTTCTAAAAAAAATTATATATATCTAGGTGAATTAAAAATGTTCTGAAAAATTCAAATGTTACGTTAAAAAAATGTTTACATCACAGGTATCCCTATAAAAATGTCAAATTCAACAATTAATGATTCTGTATATATTTCTACTAATTTAAATCCAAATTATCTTATTGACATTTTTATTGGTGAAAACCTATTTTGTAAGAAGTTGTCCAATTAAAGCAGAATCTATTCCATTATAGTATTTAACTTCTGTAAATTGAAGTATAACAAAACACATGTCTGTCTCCCCTGATTTAATGTTAACAAAAGTTATCCCCCTCTTTTCCTCTCTGTGCTCTTCCACCCTAAATAAATTTTGGTGATACTTACCCTCAATAATTTTAAAAGTAGTTTTTTTTTAAAGGCTCAAACGACAACAAAACTGGAGTGAAACAATAAAACATTTAACGTCAAAACGTTCGCAATAAATCACGCTTTTAAAAAGAAAAAATTGACAGATCTGTGTGTTAAAGTATACATAAAACACCTTAAAGAGGTAACCATTTAAATTGTCAACCGATACATTTCAAGATATAGTGGATGATAAATGTAAAAACTAGGGTATAAATTATCTTTTAAATGAAATCTGCAACAACATTTAATGTAAATTTGATTTAATCTTCCTATCGGAACATATCAGATTTATTTGCACTGCAGTTCAAAAAAAAATTTCTCGTCTTTTCCGTCTTCAAACAACGATGAAGAGAAAATGGAATGCTATCTTTAATGGTGGTCTCGAAACACTGCCTGGAGGACTCGGTTTTCCAATTAGACGAGTCGGGTAATGTTACACAATATTCGATGGGCGATCGGCTCACATTTACGGTAAAAAAAAGGTGCAAGCACCTGCTCCAACTGTAACTAATTTCTTCGATAATTGGTAATTTTAACATAAAAAAATCATGTTAACACACAATTTTTTACATGGTCTTAGGAGAAACTAAAACAGATGTACTCTTAACAACTGCAGCTACTGTCAAAAATTTTCTACATCTCTTCTAAAGAAAAGTCATCAATCCTAAGTTACTATTCACTACTAATCACTTACATAGTAACTTTTCACTACTAATCACTTACATAGTAACTTTTCACTACTAATCACTTACATAGTAACTATTCACTACTAATCACCAACAAAGTAATTATTCACTACTAATCACTTACAATATTAAATTGCACAGTTATGCACATTAAATGTGAAGTGTACAATAATATTGAATGAATAAATAGTAAATTTATTTTATTTTACAATACCAAATTTTTTCAAGTACATTATTCAAAAATTGCATGTATAAGATGGGCAATATAAAGCAATATATGCCAAATATATTCAAAAATTTTCAGAAAACAGTTAAAGAGACAATAATCCATGTAACAGATAAAATGCATGGTTTATGTTCAATTTGCTTATTACCATATTTCTTCAAGCTTTAAGGGCTATTTTTGATTTATTCCAGGTGATTTCTGTGGAAAACAAGTGCCCAAGGCATGCTTTAATCACAGATCATCTTTTAAATTTTACATATGAAACTAAAGGCTTTGTAACAATACATAAAATTAAAGTAGTTTTTTTTTCTTTGGAAAACTTACCATTGCTATTGGCTGTCCATGTGTACTGTCAGGATAGATCAGTCTCAGAGCTTGACGTTTTAAATCCAACAAACAATTATTGCAACCTTCGCACATTATACTAACATGGTTTGTTATCTCCCTCAGTTTTTGCTCTCTACTATTTGGAGATAAAACTGGTATTCCTCGAACTCTGTTTCCAGCCACTCTTTTTGAGGGCAAAGTTTCACTTGTAGGTGACAATGGCCTGGCAGTTTCACTAGGTGACAAGCACCTTTTTAATCCGCTGTCGTTAGCAATCGGGGACATTGGCCGTCCTAGGACAAGTGACATTTCCTCTTTAGAGTTATCATTTTTACCGTTTCTATCATTAAGAGGAGAAATTGTTCCTAGGACTGTATAATCCATTGTCGTATACTCTTTTCTAATAGTTCGAGTTGAATTTGGAAGCACTCTTGCAATATTCCGGACACAACTTTTAACTTCCTCCGTCACGTTGTCATTTATACCCTCCCCTTCTTCCATCAAGTTCTCTCCTATAGCATTACCAATAAACTGATCATAGCTCGGTATGGTTTCATCATTATCAACATTATCGTATGTTTCACTAATTCCGTTAATCTCTGATAAGCTTTCCAGTGGTTTATCAAGTATATCATCTATATTTGTCTCACTCAAGTCACTGACCTTGTGCACTTGTAAAACATTATCATTAGAATTAATTCTGTTTGTACGAGCATTTTGAGTCGGATATATATCTGACAAATCTCCAAGGTCTTGCTCTTTCCTTACAGTTTTACCGTTCTTTTTCGCTGGCACAGGAGGTGGAAGACGTTTTGGATCACGACGCTTACTGCTTGGTGTAGGAATGCGTCTTATGATAGCTTGACCTCCAAACAAGTTTGCAGCTGATTTAACACTGATGGATTCAGTGAAACTACTTTCGTCCTCCATCTGAAATGAAGAAAATATTTTTTACGCCAATTTGTATATATTATCAAGACATAATTTCTGATGACAATTGCCTTATGGTACCAGTATAAATCAAGTACAGAAAGCAATTCTGTATAGTCTAAACAGTCTTTATACTGTTTGCAACAGTCAATTTATAATTTTGAAACTACTTTAATCAATAATGCATTGTTCTTAAATTAAAAGAATATGCATTTCAAGGTAAATGACATGAATACAGTATTCATACTACAACATACAATTTGCCTGCCTGATTTTAGATTTTAAAAGCGCACACTTTCCTCGTTTTTTACTTTCATGAAGAGTTGAAAGTTGGAAGAAACGTAGAATTACATATGCACGAATTTTAATTTCTCTGCAAAGGTATAAATAATTGGACGTATTTAATCACTTACAGACAAAAATGTGACCTGTATTTGTCAAAGTTTACTACAGCAAAATGATGTCAAAATACCTACTATTCTACCAGAGATTTATTACCCTTAAAACCGGTAGGTAATAAAAACTTATGAAATATAAATTACGTGTCAGAAATGAAAAACGGCAAAACTAAAAAATAATTTTATATGGCTTTATCATATTTATACACGATACCTCATAAAACTTGTTATTTCATTAATATTAATAAATCCTCCACAGTTACAGTGTGACAATGTATAAAACAAAGCGAGATAGATGAAACCATATTGTCAGTTAAATAACTAATTAGTTACCAACTAAAATTGTATTTATTTTAATATTAATAATCTCACTCTTACAAAACAATGCATGCCAGTAAAATTTACGGTTTCTCTCGAATTTCAACTGTATTTTATTATTATTAATTATGAGAATTTTTGTATCACATGTGTAGATCCATATTCTATGTATATTGTATTGTATTCCTGTATGTTTTAATTGAAAGATTCTGTTTTTATTCGACAAAACTTTTATTTCTACATTTACGTCACATTTCATTTAGTATATAGTTAAACAGATGTTGCATAATTTATTATTTTTTCTGAAGAAGACAAAATGTCGAAAGCTAAAGAAATTTTTTTATTGAACTGATAATATTTACCGTATTCTACATTAATAATAACATTAACTTAACAATTTTATTATTACATGTACCTCCCTTTTACACCAATTTGAACTGAATGGACTGGGGCGGGACCAATTTTGACCCCAGGGCTTTTATTTGAACAAACTTTATAGACACTCATTAGAAGATGTTTCATGCTGAATAACTTAGCTCTAGCTCTTTGGGTTCTTTAAAAGAAGATTTTTTAAGTTTTTACTATATGCATATAGGGAAAATCAATGACCCCCTGGGGCGGGGCCAATTTTGACCCCAGGGATTTTATTCAAACAAACTTGGTAGACACCCACTAGAAGATGTGTCATGCCAAATATCTAAGCTCTAGCTCTTCGGATTTTTAAAAGAAGATATTTAAAGTTTTTTCTTTCGGTTGCCATGGCAACCAGAGTTCTGCATGGAATTAAATTCTTTGAACAATTTTTAAAGGTGACCACCAAAGGAACATTCCTGTGAAGTTTGGATAAAATTGGCTTAGTGGTTTATGAGGAGATGTCATTTAAAGTAAAAGTTTACGGACGGACGGACGGACGGACGGACGATGGACGGACCACGGACGGACGCCGGACGAAAAGCGATCACAAAAGCTCACCCTATCACTTTGTGACAGGTGAGCTAAAAAGCAGGGCTCTTGAAACTCAAAGTGACTATGAAAATTTCATAAAAAGAACAAATTATCAAAGGTTTTAAGAACACTCCCAAATAAAAATCATGAAATATTGCGTTAAAAATAAAAAACTCTAAAAATTTCCATAAAAAGACATGAAAATTTCCCTATCTTAAATATATGATATGCCAATATTCCCTAGATCCATGTAAATTATGGGAACAACAATGTTCTGATGTATATAACTCATTAATGTTTGGGACTCTTTTATTCCACTGACATTTTGTGTAAATCAAAACATCTTGTAATTCTGCCATTATTATCTTGCTTTGGACTCCATGTTTAGGGAACAATCAATAAGAACCGCTGGTTTGGGTCCTTTATTTGCATAAAAAACACATACATCTAGCCTTTGAATGACCCTGATTAACTCTTTATCATGAAGCAGCTTCTTCCACTGAACAAGCTTCCAAAGAACATGGATTCATGATGAAGATAAATCAGTGCCATAAAGCTCTAATCTGGATTATTTTTTGTATATATTCCAATATGAAAATAGCAGGCTACAAAACCATTTCAAACCAGGCAACAAACATTAAATTACTATGATTAGTTAAATCTTGGAATAAATCAAAGTTAGATCTAAACTCTGTTTTATTACTGTCTCAGTCACATGCCAGAGAATTTTGAAAACTTTTAAGAAAATCTCACTACTCCAGAAGCTCAATAACTCAAATTGTTAATGAGTGTTTTGATTTTAATAGAAACACATATTTATCAGAAATAATGGATCCAATGAAGTTAATTAATAAAGCTTTTAAACACCCAGATTAATTTTGCTATAAATAGCTTGTCATCTGTATTTGAGGCGACCCGATACTCCATCCGCTCTCTGCCCACACTCTGTCTGCTGCGTTGTGACATGCGGCACAACAATAGACAAGGGTTTTTAATTTCCTGGTCAGTACAGAAACATGGGGAGAGTGGACACACCAACATGTATGTGTCATATTAAACTACTTTGTACATTCAAATATGGAAACTAGAAAAAGGTCATGTTAAGTTGACCTCTCATGTTGCTAAGCGATAAACCTTGAAATTTAAATGGCTTGTGATAGAAAATGATGACATTTGTAACATATTTCTATAGCTATTAATCAAACCATAATTTACAGTTTAAACTATCAAATTAATGTAGCCAATTAAAGATAAATTTACTTGATAATAAAATACCTAATGGCCATTAAGCAAAGGGGATAAACATTGTTTACATATCTAAAATGTTGATTGCTTCTTAATAAATTGAAGGAAAAAAGTTTCCATGTAAAGGGTTAAATATTGTATATATAATTTTAATATTTTTACAGTCCACACACATCACTATTAACATCATATTGTAATACCCCCGCACTAACGGGTTAAAGAATATGACTGGTGGTTCCACTTACATTATGTCAGCCTGCAAGTTTTGAGCGCTATCTTCCATTATCTTGCTCATGAAAGAGTGGGACTTAAACCCTAAACATGCTTAATATCTTAAATGGATTTGTCCATCCTTCAATTTGGACTAAGCCATTCATCTTAACACTAAGAACTGCCTGAATGGTAAAAAGTGCAGACCATGATCAGACGATACAGATGAAGCAACTGATCTTGGCCTGCACTGGTGGCATATGTAGATTCAGTTGCTGAGAAGGCTAAGGGTGTTAGGCAAATGAGCTGCAATTCATCATTGGTTAAGCATTGTGCCACAAAGGCACCCATATTTAAGAAAATGTTTAGCGACAGCAACTTTCATTTCAAAATGTTTTCTTCAATGCTTTTAAAGTAGCCTCTGAATGTATTAAATGACAAAAATAAAAGACCAAGAACAAAGTACTTGTTCAACTTGATGTTCTTGGGGTAAAAAGCCCCGTAACTCAAAACATTATCAGCAGAAAAAACCTCGAAGAAATTATTTATTTATTACAAGCTGTTATAACAAACTCCTATAAAATAGATAAAAATAATACTTTGATACCTTTTCTACAAGAACTTAATACTTATCTTCATAGATAGTATTTTAGCTTACTCAGCAGATAATCATAATAGTAAAATGAATAATCCAAAAATAATTGCAGCATTAGATTTCAATCATCCGAGCAGAAAAAAACCCGACACCTTAATGACTGGAACAATACTATCAATTAAATATTAATGAGAAACAAGTCTTCTGATTTACCTTTAAAATATCCTATTCCATGCACATGAAAACTGAAACATCTCTTGAAAACCGGAATAAAAATGTAATGAAAACTGGTATGTGTCGTACAGAATCATAGTTACATGTCTACATTAAATGGTGATATACTGTAAAATGTAGGCTATTAAAATGAAACAGGGTTATCACTACACTGGTCTATTGTATGAGACGATTTACTGTCGTAGCGTAACTCTCGTCATGTGGAAAATTAAGTCGTTTTTTTCTTCTTCCAATTCGAGAAGAGAATTACCATAAGACAACACTAGATGTCTAAATTTTGTTAATTTGATTTAACAATTGAATGAATAAACCAACCCAGTTGCATATATTTTTGTTCAAAAAGAAAAAAGTAAATAACATTAAATATATGCTGTATATAGGGCGGCAGTAATTTACTCAGATGTTCCTAAAATTAGCGTCAATGTCTTTTGGGACATGGTTTTGATTTGTGAACATCAAGGGCTTGTTGGCAATTTTTGCACAGTTCTGATAACTAATTAATCTGGAATTTTATTTTGCCATAGAAGTTAAATAATGAAAAGAAAAACAATTAATTCAAATAACAGTTACCCTTTTAATGTTGGTTACAATAACAATAATATAGAACATTACTTATATAAACGTTTGGGAATAAGAATGTAAAATAAATAGTTAAAAAATGTATTTCTATTGTCTAATGGTGTTAAAGACATTAGAGACAAGACATCTTTGCATCACATCAGAAGCCAACAAGATTGTTTAGGACCAGTCAATTTTTTTCATATTATTTCCTATTTATTCAAGGGACCAGCCTTATTACCGTAAAATTCCTAATAAACCCCCCTCCCCTAATAAAAGCCCCCCCAGGCTTTTTGATATGGAAAAAAGTCTGCTCGCGAGTGGTGAACTCTTTTAAAAATCCATAATTTTAATTCAAATCCTTCAGAAACCATTTCTTTTTTTCATAGTAAACACAAAAATGCCATCACAATGAACTTTTAAAATCTTAACACCATTTTAATTGGGTTGTTTACCAAAACCCCATGTTACACATAAATGTATTTTCAATGATTTTT